GTTTTTACTCAACAGAGGCCTGCAATGAGGGACACTTTCTTTAGAAGTACATGCAACTATGAGTGACAATACTGAAGAGAGAGGCAGCAACTATGACACTGTTACCCTCCCCCTGAGAGCCTCTGATCTAGAATCCATAGAGGTACCAAACCAGACTGGTAATTTTATACATTAAAAAAAAAAAAAAATTGCATAGGCTATAGTATTGCTTGTTCTAGTTACCTCTTAAAGAACCAAATACAATATAGTTACAGGGTATCTTCTAAGAAAGGATGCACTTCAGATTTAGACTTCAGATGCAGACTTGAAGATGTGCAAAATTCACTGCCTCCCATAATAATTAATTCCAGTCAGTTAATACCCTTTCTTTTTGCTTTTTGCATTTTCCACCCTCCTGGCACCATTGCTATTAACTTACACTAACACAGCCATGTGGTAAATATCGCAATGAACAGTCCAACAATTAGTACAGAGATCGAAGTCTGTTCCTGAGGCCTTATATTCTCAGTCTTCCACCTAGTAGCCATTTGGACAACTAAAGGGACAACTATCATTTGTGACATACTGAACCCGGATCTGTTGGTGCAAATATAAACCTGTGAATTACCGCACTATCTGGATATCCAGCTTTCACTGCAGAGTGACTTGAACACTTACCCTGTCCAAATCATGAACGAAACCTGCTCTTTTGAATCCTTCATGAATGCAAATGCTGACAAAATAAGTTGGTAAGGAGAATCGCACAAAAAGTCTCCAAATGGGCCTGGGTTGGAGGCATTGGCTCCTTTGGAAGAAGAACAAACTTTGGTGCGATCAGGGGTAATGTGATAAGTCGGATCTAAATGTAGATCAGATACATGCCAGAACTGCCCTGTTTTCAGAAAACAAAGATTAAAGAAAATGCATTATTTGCATCTGAACTGGATATATAAGGGTAGTGCCAAGTTTGCTCCACTTTGTCTACTGCTATTCCTCTCTAAAGTCTTGAAAAGGAGAATAAATTTAACAAATTGTTGATTAGCCTGTCTGATAAGCGTGGGCAAGTTCTGCATTCCTGACAAGAGTCGAGTCCTTCATGTGGTCCACTTAGAAAAACTGAAAACAGAAGCAGAGGCATGGGTTTACACTATTCACCAGAAATAAAATGGGGATTGGAAGGAACTGAAAAATCAGCTCTTTTTCATTAATAGCAATCTGGAAACTGTAGAGCAGAGAAGGCAATAAAAGGACTTCTCCACTTCACCTGAAAAGAGAGGGAGTTGCATTTTAATTATTTTTCCAGAGCTTCCCCGGCTGGAAGCTACCATAAAAGATCAGTCTAGGAAGAATGGCAAGAAACAGCAATGTTTCTTGTGTGTGCAAAATGTTCTTGTTTCAACGTGTGCAAAAATTTCAAAGCTCTTCTCCTCAGCAGCCACAGTAGAAGAGGTTGGGCTTCTTACCATATAGCAGTGTGTCAGCCTTACCTATTCACTGCTTTCCAGGCTGACGTGTTCTCAGCCACGGCTACACAGCACTGCATGGATAAAGAAGCTGAGAAGTTCAGGAGTATGCTGAGCATGGTGAATGAAGACTGTATTAGTCTACAAGCCTTGAAGTTTCATGTAAAATAAGAGTAATTCCTTTCTGTCCGTTTCAAAGCACTTGGTAAAGGCTGTGATACGCATGTATCTGGGGCAGTGGTTGTGAAACAGGGACGGATATAAATTGATTTTTCCCAAGGTCACATGCCCACTCTGTGGCTGAGCAGGCACCACGCCACTCTACCGCGTGGAGCTTTATTTCAGGAAGCAAAAACCAGCAGTGTTCTTCAAAGCCCGCAAAACTGTGACTCCTACGATCAGGACTCAGAGAAACGCCGGGGTACTGCTGCGTGTTCGGTCCGAGGCCAAGTGTGAGGCGCCATGGAATGAAAAGTCCGTGGGAAACCCTTTGGGAGCACTCACCTGCGCGCAGGGCCGCACCAGGGTCCGCGGCGGGCAGGGCGCGGGTGTGTTTGCTGACAGCGCGGAGCCGCGGCGCGGTGTTTGCAGTGCGTGCCTCGGGACAGCGCGCCACAGGCAGGGCCCCGCTCACCTCACCTCACCTCACCTCGCCTCGCCTCTCCTCCCCCGCTGGATAACTGGATATAAACCCCGCTTATCCCCCCCGTACCTGAAAAGCGCCGTGTTTACTGATCTAACAGTGACGCGCAGCTGCAGCCAGCTGGGACAGGGAATACCGCGGCAGGGGGCTAAGCGCGGGCAGCAGTCCAGGGGAGCGGACAGGAGGCACAAGCGGGCAGCGCGCACCCCGGCCACCCCACACTCCCCCCGCAGCCGGGCCGGCAGTGCCCCCGGCCGGGCCTCCCTCCCCGGCTCCCGCCAGGCGCTGCCTCCCGCCGACTCACCCACGGCGGAGCGGGGCTGCGGGCCGGCCGGTGCCGCCTCCAGCGCGGCGCAGAGCAGCGCCAGCCCCAGGGCCTCCCGCAGCTCCATGTCGGCCGTGCGGGAGAGCGCGGCCCGCCAGCGGCTCTGCTCATGTGACTGCCCGGGAAAGGGGCGAGCCACGGGCGCCTTGTGCAAGCCCCGGCCCTCCGCGGCCTCGCCGGGGCCGCCGGAAACCACGGCGCCCCGCCCGCCCGCCCGCACTCCCGCTCGGGGCCAGCAGCCGCCCCGGGCCGCGGCTCCCAAGGGGCCCGGCTGCCGTCGCCTCGGCCCGCCGTGCCCGCGGTGACCTTCAGGGGAGCTCGCAGGAGCCAAGCCTGGCCGCGGGCAGCGCTCAAGTCAGGGCACCGGCTGGTGTGAGGCGGCCTCGAAGGAAGGCTGCTCTCAAGACACCCCACCCACATCTCAAACTTTTCTTGGAAGGATGGATCCCGGTTACTTAAGGTGCTTAAAACAAAACAAAACAAAACAAAACAAAAAACTGATGAAATATGCTATGAAGTACATGCCTAATGCAGCTTAAGGGAAGCGATGAGGTGTACTGTAAATTACGAGTCTCCTCTGCCAAGGCTGTGTGGTAGCAGAGCTGCTGTTTATTGCTAAAGTCAGAGTAGTTTGTTCTAGAGGAAGAGTACTTGCCATCAGTTTTAGGAGCACATGACAATTGTGGTGTCATGGATCCTGTGGCTGCCCTCAAATGTCACAATGCTCAGTATGCTGTTCTGTACAGATCTGCTTTCCAGGGCTCTGCAAAGCTGTTTTATTAGCAGCAGCTGGAAGTCCTATGTCACTTCACTCCTCTGAGCAGTGTCACAGGCACTACTTCTCCACTTTTCTCTAATTTGACATTTATAATGTTTATCTTTAGAGTAGCAAAAGACTTTACCAATAAACTTCATAGTGGTTTCATATTACATATAAAACTGATGTTTGTAGGGGAAAAATAGCCCCTATAATGCAAAATATTTACTGTTTAGGGTTTATTTTTAAATGCAATGTCTCTGCATTCCTTTCCTCACATTTAATAAAAACTTTTTGTTTTTTTTTTTAAATAATGACCTCACAAGTCACTTGTTGTGAAGATGAGTGCTAATATTGGGGAGGCAAGTGTGTTTTTCCCAGTAAAGAAGGAAAAGCAGCTGCTCCCACCTTTCTCAGAAGGGGTGGCTGGGAAGGACAGTCATGTGGCAAGTGCACCCGCAGGCAACAGAGGGAAGGCAGATGAAAGCTGCATCAGATACTGAAGCTGAGGATTAAATCAGCTAATAAAACTGAAGGGCAGAAGATGCTGCTTAAACGTAACTTGAACTGTAGCAGCTAAGCAGCCCAGAACACCTCCCCATATCACTGGAGCAAGTTCTGCTTTCCATTTCTCTGATGAAAAATATTTGCTCCTAGATTTTAAAAACTATCAATAGCCACCAAATAAAACATATCTTCAATGGTTCATAATTAAGGGATCTCTTCTAGACGTGTAGTGGTCCCCACAAAACAGACTTGAATCTTCCTTTCAGACAGCTTCTTTGTGAAAAAATAAAGCTAATGACATTGAATTTTATATTTTATAGTTGTGTGGGTTAGGTGCTAGTTATGTCTGAACTTTCATCAGATGAACGAAATGAGCTACCCACGTTATCCTACCCATCCAGGGAAGTCAGCAGCCTCTTTCCATGATATCACATAGGAGACCTGAAGGATGACACAGTGCAGGATTAGGCCTGGGAGTTGGGCTCAGCTGTGCCTGTATGCAAGGCTATAGGTAGCTACATCTCCATGTGGTTCACTAACTCAGAAAATGTGTGTAGAAAACATGGACTCTCTAAACAATCTCCTCCCAGCTGCCAACAACCCGTTTCAATTTTCCTAATAATCTGAGGCATAAGGTAAGTTTTCTCACCCTGCTCTTTTAAGGAAATATTGGTCAGGCATAAGGTTTTAATTTATATTTTTAAGCAGCATTTTATTTTACATTGCTCACAGTGCAGACTGTTCCCTCTCCTGTACAGAGTAGCTAGGAAAAAACACCTCACGGAAGGGAATTGTAGTAGGTTTGCCTTGTACTGTTTCCCTGCCATCCTTGTGGAAACTGAAAGTTATTTATCGTGTTGACCCTTTCCTCTGACCCTGTGAACGACTTCAATATTTGCACATTAGCAAAAACAAACAAACAAAACTTAACACAACACCACAACCAAAAAAACAAACCTATCAAAACAAATTAAAAACTCTCTTAACTACTAAACCCAAAACTCCATGATAGCCCCAACATCAAAGTCTGTCTGTCTACTGACCTTAACCTGCACTGGGAAACAAATTCCCTGTGAAGAGTAGAGCTGAAACTGGCCTGAGAATCTTACTCCTTTGTCTACATAAAGACAGGGACTTTATCTTTCTCCAGCAAAAAGAAGCCACTGAAGTAAGTCAGTTTTTCATTTCCCGAAATACTCTACACCACATAGAAAGGCTGCTGCATTATTGTGCTGCATGCTTTTCCACCCTTAACCTCAGAAAAGGAACTTTGAACACCTCCCTCCAGAACACTGGAATATTAGCTCATTAAATGCCAAAGGAGCACAGGTTTAAAAAATGTTTTAATTTCTTTTTGATTTGCATTCCAAAACAATTCACATATTTTCCATTTACTGTAATAAAAAAAAAAAAAAAGAGGCAAGTGTTTCAGAAATTTAATGCCAAGTTTAACCTGTTTCACGATAGAGCACAAGCATGCCAATTTGATGGCATAAAGTTGGTTTTTTTTATAAAAAACATTCCCAAAACTCTTTATTAACCTTTCATGCCAGAAATGTGCATTTTAGCTATGTTCGATTATGGACGGGACATTAATCCATCCAGCAGAAGTAACATCTGGACAGAGGTCACGTAAACTCTACGCTTTCTCATAGTGGCGAACAGCAACCACATCACCAAAGGTGAGAGTCTGCAAGTCCAAGGAAAAGACAGACATGTTAGATGCTGGACCATTTTCTGTTATAACACATATTATGAAGGTTGTGCTAGAGCAAGTTTGGTTTACATTATATAATTTATAGAAAAACAAATTGATCTAGATTGACATTTTAAATGAAGAAGCAGCAAAGCCTTAGTTATAGTTTCCATAAGAAATGAAACTTTCTCACTGCTACTTTCACACCCAAGAAGCACATAATGCACATTTACAAGGCAGCGCAAGTGAGGTTAGAATTTAATTTGTTTAATATAGTATTGTTTTAATACAGATTTAGCACTTGTTTTCCCAAAGCTGATCACACCAAGATGTGCGGTCTAAATTTCCAAGTCCTCTCTATCCCTATTCAATACTATTATGCATAGATATATACTTAAGGAGAACCTTGCATTAAAAAAATGCTTTCTGTGCCTTCTGTAGCTAGAACTAGCAGATACTATAGTTGCTGCAATTGTGTAGAACACTAACTACAGTATGCATTCTGGAGGTATTTCCTGAAGTAGAACAGGGCACCTCAGAATGTTCAAATTCCAAAGAAAAAGGTTTTCTGTATATTTGTAGCTATTTCAAAATGCAAAGCATGTGTTTTCCCTTGAATTACTTGCCACATTGTGTTGCACTGACTGTATGCTTTAAAGTTTGTATCATTTGCAAGTCTCCATCCATGCAGATACTCTCCGAAGTATGCAGGAAACAAGCTAACTCCAGTAACCACCTTTGCTAGAACAGTATAGCTGAAGACATTTTTTTGAAAGCTACATCTCAGTGCCAAAAATAAGCAGGAGAAGTACTACCCTGGACATTAGCTACAGTAACTTATAACATTTATTCACCCCATACTCCTGTTTCTGAAAAGTCAGGGAAATAACATATTTAAAGTGAGACTTTTCTCCACACAATTGCTGTTTATTGTAGTTTATAAACAAGAGAGAACTAAAGCCTTTATTATTAAATATGAAAATGCCATTACCTCCTGCAATATTGTAATTTTATTTTCACAGGGAAATACTTGTTTTGTGTAATTAATTCTTTACGTGTGCATACACAAAGAAGCCTGAAATATCACTGGCAACAGATAATTTCCTATATAATCAAGAACTTAGTATCATTACCAGAACTTTTTTTTCTTGGGTATTTACATAAAAGTCTAGAAAGAACATATACCTTCTGGAAATCCATAGGTGGGCTCACCTAAAATCACTAGCAATTCTTTAGTTGTCACTAAGACAAGACACAAAACAACTATTTGAAAAATCCCTGCTAGCTTTCCCCACCAATTAGTTTAAGGATTTGTGTCTAAGTAACACTATCTGTTCGCAAAGCTTGAGATAAGGGTAAGTGAGAAGTGTTAGCTGTGCATTCAAATGCTCAGTGAGCTTTATACTTACCATTACCATTTTGCCATCCTTAATTTCTCTCACAAAGTTTGTCTCTTTGCCGTCCCACTTCTGTACGTGCACCAGTTTGTCTCCATCCAGGGTCACAACTGACTGTGAGATACCAAGAAACACAAAGACCTTCATTTATTTGGGATATTTGGGATTCTGCTCACACATTCACCATTCTATTGAATTCTCTTCAATAGATGGATGTGGATCTAGAATTATAAAGTAGTCCTAGGCATTTTCAAGCCAAGGCTATGAATCATCCTTGTTTTAAGCATGAACTCCACACAATTCTTGTTTGTGTCAAAGGATGAAAAAGTTGTTTCCTTCGAGTTCCAATCTCACAAGAACCTGCGTCAGATGTGCTTTGGGATAACGTTTCACGTTAAGCCCTCAAAGGTACAGGAAGAAAAAGGAATTTAACTATTTCGACTGGAAAAGAGTTATGCCAAATTGTATTTGGACTGAGAGAAAAGCGGGCAGCTAACACAATTCGTCGACACTGGAAGGCAGACAGGAGACTGGGGAAAGGACACGTTCATTCAGACAAGACGGTAAGCGGGCTGGGCAAACAAGATGCAATCTTGCCCTTTTATTCCCCCCTGTCCTTCGCAGTGCTACAATTACTAGTAGCAGAAGTTACTTTTTTTCCCTTTGACCCTACCAAAATACAGCCTCGGGGGCGGGGAGGAAGAAGAGAAGAGGCCACCGCAGCCCCAGAGTTCACTTACTTTGCAGTTTCTATCATCGGGAGTAGTTTCATCAAATTCCTCTCCAAGTTTAAAGCTGATTTCTGTGTTTTTGAAAGTGCTTTGAGTCCTGATCACTACTTTGTCCCCCTCGCTGCTGATAATCACAGTGGGTTTAGTCACATTCCCCACCTGCCGTGTTGCAAACCCCACTCCTAGACCATTCAAAGACAAAGAGAAATCCATCAGACCTTCGGGTTTTAATACATTTTTTTTCTTTTTGCCGCACATCGAGGTACAGAAATCTCTTCTCCCGCTCGACAGCTGTAAGCTACCCCTACGAAATGCTGCTTTCTGCTTCGCTTGTGCCCTGGTACCGACAGTATCCATCGGTACTGGCCCCCCCCGCACCCCGGCTGTAGCTCCGCGCCCCCCTCGCCGCCACCGCACCCCGTTCGCGGTCACTCGCACGGCCTCGATCGCTTCTGCTGCTCTGAGTTTCAGTTCCTTATCACTCCAGCATAATGATTTCTTTTGTGTTTGTTTGTGTCCAGCTTATCGGCAAGCAGCATGTGCCCGTCTTTCACACGCTTCTCCTCGCCCGGGGCCATCTCCCGGAGCCTCCATCCGCAGGACGGTTCCCACGCAAGCACACCCGCCCCCCGAGGCTGAATGACCCGCAGCGAAGTACCTCTGGGCATAGAAGCACAGCCGTCTCAAACACGCCCCCCTCATCACCCCCACTGCTGCCTTTATTTTTAGTAGGGTGCAAAACTCCAAGGTCTCCTAAACAGGTGCCGCCTCCCGGCCGTACCTACCCAGTGCCTTCATGTATTCGTCGAAGTTGTGGCTGTCCACCAGCTTCCAGGTGGCGCAGAAAGCCTCGACCATGGCGGCCGGCTGCGTGTTCCGAGCGCAGTGCCAGGGAGTGGCAGAAGCGCCGGTCCTACCGCGCCGCCCCGCATTTAAAGCGAGCGCCCGGCGGGGGGCCGGGGGTGGGGGGCGGCCGCGATCCGCCCCCGACGGCCCCGCGGAGCCGCCCCACACTGCCCGGGGAGGGCGCTCCCCGCCCCGGCGAAGGGACGCGGTGCTGCCCGGCCGGGGCACACGGCGGGACGCGGAGGGGAAGGGAGAGGGGAGCCTGAGGCACCGCTCCTCACCCGAGCCTCCCTGGGGGCACCCCGGTCTGCCTCCGTTGCTGTCCCTAAATGTAAATTAACACGGTGGGGAAAAACAGAAGCGGGCACCCAACGTGAAAGACTCTACTGGGGATCACAACGCTGCTGAGTTTTCCCATGAAGATTTTCCAACCCAGTTTGGTGTTGGCCAAGTGCAGATCCCTTTACCCATCACAGCATCTATGTGGATGCTGTGTGAACTTGGCATTTGGTGTTGCTGGTTGGAAACAGCACCTTGCCCCCACAATTGGCAGCATTTACAGACTAAGAATGAAAAAAGAAGGAAAAGAGATTAAAACTTGGGGGGGGTTGTTGGTGATTTTTTTTTTTTTTTTGGTGAGCGTTTTTGTTTGGTTTTGGGGTGTTTTTGGTTTTTTGTGGGTTTTTTGTGGGTTTTTTTGTTGTTTTTTTTTTTTACTACAAGAGAGGGAATGTTTTCTTCCTAGTTGTTCTTTGAAATCGTTTTAAGATGCTAGGTGATCATCTTGTCTCTCAAATGTTTTTCAGAAAGCAGCCTGTCTTTGTGGGACACACCACAGTGCCAGCTTTTCCAGACCTATGACTTGGATGGATTCCAGAATACTGAATTTAGCACTTCAGCTCTTGTAACAAAACTCAGGGACTAAGTGAAAGAGAATTTGTGTGATTCATGAACAAAACCTCAACAATTTTTTACCTGGTTCAGCCATACAAAACATAAATAATTATGAATATTTTCCTAATATTTTAAAATTAGCTTTTGACCATCATTTGCATTTCTTTCAGGCTCTTGTAGTATGGCACATTCTTTGAGTGTAGGGCAAATGATAATTTCTGATGGGATTTTAATTTAATTTGCTGTTTTCTCACTTGTCGATAATAATAAGGAATTAAACCCTCTCTGAATTAATCCCAGGAGTATAATCCTAATTCCTTTTACCACACAACACAATTTTCATTAGCCTTCATAACCTAACGTTACAAACTAGTCCATCAATTTCTCTTTAACCTTCCATCCACTTACTTTGAAGCAAAAAGTGCCCTCCTGCAGCTGCTCAGTTTATGTCTGATTGCCTCTTCCAACCAGCTCTTCTGAGGCTTTTCAGACAGTGCTCAGAAAGCCAGGGAGACTAGAGCATCACTTGAAATGACAGACCTCCAAGTTGATCATCAGACTGAAAGGAATCAAATCCTCTTTTTTTTTCTGGTCAAAGTTGAGTAATGCTCTACCTCCAAAGTTTGCAGAGAATACCAGCCTTAGTGGTGCATCTCCTACAGATGTTCCCCAGCCTCATGTCCGTAGTCAGTCAAACCCTCTGTAATGAATGAGAAATACACTTTGTGATTGGCACTGTTGTGGCACAGGGCATATGGGTTTGATATTGTGCATGCATGTCATCCCTCGCTGCAGTTCAGTTTGGGGATTGTGTTTCCTCAATGCAGTAACATTATCAAGTAAAAAATGCCCACCACTCATACCCGAACTCTTCAGTGGTGGTCTCACAGAGCCTCATCTCTGACACACAAGGACATGCCAACTGACCTCATCACTTACCTACTTCACCTGAGATGCATCTGTACCTAATGCAGACCACAAGAAAGCTCGAAAGGGACTTCTTCCATGGGCATGCAGTGATAGGACAAAGGGTAAATGGTTTTAAACTGGAAGAGGTTTAGATTAGATATTAACAAGAAATTCTTCTAGTGCACAGAAACATGGTCACATCTGGCCTTTAGAGCAGATTAAATTTAAGACCTATCAACCTCAACAGTGTCTGTGCCAGTTTTCTTCCTCTGCACTGACAGGGAACAAATTTAAAGCCCCTGATGCACCATTTCTATATCTCATGCTTTGAGTTATTCCCTTCCTTTAGCACAGTAGGCCTGTTCCTTTCCTGAGTATGATCATTTTTCAGCCAAACATTGAAGTTGGTGAGGCACTGGAACATGTTACCCACAGGAATTGTAGATGCCCCATTCCTGGAACTATTCCAGGCCATGTTAGATGGGGCTTTGAGCAACCTGGCCTAGTAAAAGGTATCCCTGACCATGGGGGGCGGGGGTCGGACACAGATGATCCCTTCCAACCCAAATCATTTTATGATTCTATGATATTAAATTCTAAATTATTTTACCAATATCATCTTGCTCTGTATAAATGCTTTGCTATGGCTGGAACGGAGATTGCAGTGTGAAACACACTGACCTGGTATGCATTTTAGGTTGCTGCACAAGAGACCAGCTTGGAGTTTCGTTTGTGCAGTCAGCAGTTTGATGGTTTTAACAGACTCTGTACTCCCCTGTAAAATGCCTGTGTGACGAAAGCTACCTCTGGAGATTCCTCTCTGAACTTGAAGGGATTCATTCTCCTTTATACTAAACTCTTTATAACACCTGAGCAGTCTAAGTAGGCACATTTGCATTTTCTGTGCAAGGTCTGCTTGAAAGACGAAAATGCTGTGGCAACACATCCCTGTGTAATGAGTAATCTTTGCTTCCAAAGGCCATTCAGGGTGAATGTGAGGCTACTCTAACCTTCAGCCTTCAAATACTGGTCACAAACCCTGCTTTTAGCTACCTGTCCCCTCTGTTATATCCCTGCTTCACATGCCCTCAGACATTCAGAGATGGAGGCTGTCAGCCTCGTTCAGCCTTCATCCTGTACTTGAAAGAAAAAAAAATTCACTTGTTCAGGAAAAATAAAAAAGAGGAGGAAGGGGGCACCACAGGATGGCTGCCAGGCTCCTGTGGTAGAAAAGTCTGACCATGAGGTTCTGTCATGTGTGTTCCTCACAACCAATATCAGGAGCTGCTGAGCATCTAATCACTACAGCCAGTCACTAAAGGCTGTAAAAATGTAGTGAATTTGGTGCAGTTAGTGTTTGAAGTCAGATTTATCTATCCTTCTGCTCTGTAGCTCAGTGGATCTAATGCAGGCAGGGCACTCTTGCTACACCACTTCAGTTAAACCTCCACCCTTTCACCATCTTACAGTACAATAGGCAGGAACAGCGTATTACTCTGTAAAGTTTGATCAGTAGTTAAGGGGATACTATGTTATAAGACCTTCAGATAATTTAGTGATGACTGCATCATTTAAACATTTCTCTGTTCGAGGCAGTAAAGACCCTGGAACTGCAGAGTATCTTGTATCCATGTGTGCAACAAAGGGCAGCAGTGATACCAGGGCCTAACTCCCCTGCTACAAAAGCAGATGTAGGCACTCAGAGGCCTTTTAGGTATTGAATCTCATTGAAAACCAACAGGATTCAGGGTCCTAACTGACTTAGGTGTTTCCTTAAACTGTTAGCATTGTGCAACATATAAGGGGCTATTTGCTTCTGAATTATGGAAATTGAAAATAATGTGCAGCTGAAAGAAGACGTTTCCTCCATTTACGGACAGCCAACTAGGGTATTCTTATCAGGTTTTAAGCTTTTTTGAAGCCCCACTGTGAATCTCTGTGCAGTTTTGATATCAGTGCAACACAGTAATGAACAGATTTTAGTAGCTATTGTGTCAGATAGAACGATGTTACATCAGGGCTGAGTGTGATTTGATTTTTGGTGCTGCAGAAAAACCTAATATCAAATAGGACAGTAGAATGTCCTTAACTAAAATTATCTCATACGCTCTCTAGCTGTCTGAGAGATTTGCTAATCCCCCTAATAAAAATAAACCATCTCGGTGCTGTTGGTGAATCACAGAAAATACCTAGGTTTATTTACTCTATTGATGAGCAGCTCTTTAGAAATCCCAGTTTCAACAAATGCCTTATGGAGAAGACACCCAATTATGCAGCTACAAAAGGAAGTGGTCGCAGAATGGTCCCAGGTACAAAGCATCTGTATGAATCCAGTCTTGTGCTGCCTAAATCCCATGTGAAGGGCTTTGCTGGAGCTGCAGACCACATGATAGGCAGGGTGCAAGGTAATGCAGGCAGGAGCAGGAAAGGCATGTTTATACCATATCCCTTCAAAGAGCAGGGCACACCCTAGGCAAAATTTAGGAGCACGTTCAGCAGGCTTCCTGCCACTTCCTGCTCAACCAAAATAGTGCCAGGACAGTCTAACATTAGACACAAGTCACGTTAAAGTCTAATTCTGGTGTTGATTGCTAATTGGTGAAAATGAAGTGGTCTGTGATCATGCATTTCATTCTTGCAGATTCTCTCTTATGTTACAAATTGGTATGACATGAGATTAGGAGAGTCCTGGAAAGTAAATACCCACTAATACCTCATTATGAACTATTAGACATATATTCGGATTGGTTTAAGCTGAGAGGGCAGCTGGTCGACAATGGTTTTAAGAAGTAAGCAAATGCTATGAAGTATCTCCAGGGTCTTCTCTGCATCTAAAAGGCTTTCAGGGCATTGTTATCTGTTGTCTAATATTACTGTATAAACTCATTTAGTGGACTCAAGTCAGGTTCTCCTCAAAGAATTAGCCTGCACTAAAGCCAGCCACCTTCCTGGCTTCCAGTTCAATTCATTGAAGATGCAGCTACTTTAACTTTGTGCCATCATGCCTTTTTAATTTTAATATTTGTCTTTGCTTTCCTTTGTATTTAAGAGTAGAAAACCTATTTAAAAGCCTCCAAAATGCAACAGAAATGTTTGATACAGGGTGTCACTTACAATAGCAGTCTAGTTATTGTAAAATCAATACAAGTAATTAGCTTTTCAGACTTACAATTTCAGCATGTGCAAATGTTAGGTTGTACACTGAGGAAGAAAGAAATAGTCTTATAAACAAGCAATTGACTATTTCAGGGGTAATAATGACTCAGAGAAATTTAGGAGACATATGA